AGTTGAGGGACCGCACCAAGGTGTCACTACCAGCACCGTTCCCCAGCACTTTTGAGCAGGGAAGTGGCACGCTACTGCAGGGATCAATTCATCTCACATGTAGCAGTGGCAAGGATCCTTATTATTAGAGGCGAATGTTCAATCTGTCTCCAAGTTCAAAGAACCACCTCCACTAGCCATCTAAGGAGTATCAATAAAACTTTCCCGATTCTAGATCACCTGTCAGCATGGGAAGGACTGACTAGCGGTTAAGAGGTAACACCCATACCAACACGCCAACACGCCAACAGTAGGCCACTACGCTTTGTTAGGAATCATTTTATAAAAACCCCCAGTTTTCTTGTTCTTTACGCAGCGACGCAGCGGAAACGATGTCTTCGCGCCGGCGCATACGCGGAGACAGTAATGCCGCAATACAGGAAAATACTGTGAAATCTAAAAAATTCCGCAGTTTGCTTACTCGGAAAAATATTAATATGTTGACCAGACCCACTTCTTGTTTTTGCATTGATGAAATTGCATTTCGTTTTATTTTAATTTTTGTTTCTATTTTTTGTTTTTTCGATTCCAGTCCAGCTTCAGAACTACTTGCCAGATTTTAATATGAATAAGAGTGAATTATGGTGTGGATTTTTTAGAAAAATGTAATTGTGATTCGTTAGCGACAATGACGGGTGACACTGGATTTCTCTATGGGGAAGATGCTGGTATCGTGAGAGTGGTAAGTACAAGTTCCGTTCAAGTTTGACCCGAGCAACCTTGCACACTCACATCGTGTTGCGAAAAAGAAGCCGTGTTCGGTTCTGCAGTGTTAGAGAAATCGAATCACAGTGCCTTCCATGAAAGCAGTCCACGATGATCGTGTAGGCGGAGTCACGCCTGCCGTATGTCGCTGATCAGCAGGTTCTGGTTATCCTCCACATCGAACTCGAATAGCTGCACTAATCGTAAGGAGGAAGGCACGTTGGTTGACTGGCTCCACCCTCACGATCATCGTGGATTGTCTCTCTAACTATGAAGCAACCTGAGAGGACTCCGTGAAATTATTTGATAGCGAGAGTAGGTTTTCAGCATGGCTCCAGCATGGCTTCGAAGTACAAGAGGGAATCCGCAGTGACAGAGTTCCTCAAATATTTCCCAGGGCTGTGACTCCTTTAAAGGGCCTACATTTTAGAAAGACTCCGGAAAGCACCTATTGTACCGCGGGGAATTCCAGTGGACAAGTTTTCCATGTATTCCATAGTGGGCGTGACCCTAACAATAACCCAATGGAATTGGAGGGTGTGGGTTATAAAGACCTTATTGGGGGGGGGTGGGTGTGGTGAACAATAGCTGTTGAATACGCTTTTCGTTGTCATCTGTGAAATTTTGTTTTCCACTGTGGAGCGAATGTTCTGACAAACGTTGCCAATAAATCGATAAATCAGTTTCCGAAAAAGTTCCCCGAAATTTCAGTGTTCACGATTTTCCATTGCTTAGGTGGCATTGCACTCGGAAGGCGACGTCGATGGCAAGCTAACACTGGGACCGCTTGAATGCGAAGGATTCGGTTAGTCCCACTCACTGTTCCCATCTCAAGTAATCGATTATCGATCCACTCGCTTCAGCAGCTGCTGCTCCAATACGCTTTGCGGAGCCGCGAGCAATACCGATACGCGATTGGAACGGGGAACCGTTGTCGTTCCAGTTCCGAACAGCTCTACCCTTTGCTACTTTGTTCTCTGTTCAAGAGAGCGCTGAGAAATTCCTTACAGTGGAATTGGTTCAAGGTGTGCCCTCCTTATCGATTCCTGGCAAAATCGTTATCGATTAGTACTCAAATGTCTTAGGCCATATGATTCGCGTGTCATTGTAGCAGTTGGAATCAAGGCAAGGTGCGTCGTAATCTCGTACATCACATCGTATAGCAATAAGTCTAGAGTCCATCAAAAGACGCAGAATCCGAGCAAGGCCCTAGTTGATTTAACGCGGACTTGCTCTCCAGCTAACCAGGGATATACTCCACTGCTTCCTGAGCATTTCCGCAACGTGCTTTGCCCTTCTGAAATACTGGATCATGAAATAATCTTCAAAGACCGTTTATATTCCATGTGAATTTTACCAATCAAATTAAATCTGCTGCATTTAACCTATTCTAGAAGGATAATAGAATATTTAGTTAGCGGCTTGATAACGTTTGCTCCCACCATTAAGAGATACCCGTAAGTACCAATTCATTAGCAAGTTATTCAGGTTCTTGCTATATTTTCATTATTTTGTTGAGGGTTCTGACCTATTTCCTGCTAACTCAGTCACTTGGGAAGGCGTTCAATTGTGAGAACGGGGCACAGACTTGCACATAGCATGGTCTGTCAGATTCACGAGATATACAGGTACCAATCCCATAACGACGGGGAATCGACTTCGAGTGCGTGGCGCATTCCAAAGGGTGTCAAGTGCTTTGTTTTACTTTTGCCTTTGTGTCTGAATATCGACATGCTCACTGAACAATTGCTTTATACCTGGTCCCAGTCTTTTTTATGTATGTTGTTATGAGTACAGAAAGCTTTAGCAATTGGCTTAGAGAAAGCTTTTGTTATGAGGGCGAACTAAAGACTCCTAAAGATAAAAAACTTCAGGCTGAACGACACAAAATGGCATCTTCTTGTGCTGGAAATAGCGAACGATGAAATCCGGTTGGGTGTCGATGGCTTCAACTCATTCACCGCCATTAACGAAACAGAGATTCCAAAGGGAAAACTTCAGCTGAACGACGATGACAGGTACGTCGGCTGGTCGCTGTCATCTCCAATCTTTGTTCTTTTTCAAATCCGTTCAAATTTCCAAAAATTTCATTCCAGTGGCTTCACCGGATGCGTCCGCTCCCTCGTTATTGATGACGAAGCGATTGGCTTACAAGCCATCGGAAAAGACATCGAAGGTAGGGCTGACATCCACCTCAATATCAACCTAATAAACACAATCCACGTTTACAAAATCTGCACGCGACCACACACATTGTGTATGTCATCGGCAATGTTTGCTCGAAGACCAAGCTGGCTGAAGACTGAGCGTGCAAATGACAAAGAAAAACTCGAATAAACGTAATTGCCGTGACTTGGGGCCACCGCATGCACTCCTTATCCCTAAGACGGAGAAGGTGATGCGGATGGCATTTAAACATGGCGTAGGATGGGTTGCTTGTGGGTTATTTCAGTGTGAGACAACTGTCATCTTGCTTCTATGTTGGACAAAGACATGATTACAACTGCCGCAAAAGAAAGATATATCACGAGAACCTTGACCGCCGCTGCGTTCATCCCAAGTACGCAGCCAACGTTGCTTGGGGGGGGGAGGAGAAGGGAGCACGAAGCGAGACAGGGTGGTGCCCAGTGTGGAGATTTGGTGTTCTCTAGGCCGATCACCGAAATGGACAATACCTTGTCTGCTGAGGCGCGAATGAATTACTTTGAGAAGACCGGGAAGTGCACACTCATCCGCGCCACCCTCTCGTCCCCCTCCGCCCCTCCCTCCAGTGGTTCCGTCCACAAAATTCATTAGTCTTTCCCATGGACGTCTTCCTCCCTTTACTCCAACTTCTGAGTGATGTTCACCCACGTTCGTTGACCGACTGAAAGGCACGATAATTTGGTACTCGTTCTCAAATGGTAACAGGGGTGCCATATAGTTGCACAATGGTGAAAAAAACTTAGTGAAACGGTCGCCTCCAAGCGTTGACGTTGGCGCTTGTAGGGCTCGCCAGGGTACTTCATGCCTGACGATAGTTACTCTCTCTCTTTGGGAACATGCCACCGAAACTACCACCCTCAAGGGGGTTTCGATCAAATTCTACCTCAAATTTCGAAGCCCACGGCTATAGCAAACAGCGCTCAGGAACTCTACATGTCTTGGGGATTTATCGTGCCATTTGCCTCTGATCTCTTACCACGAAAAATTGCTGGAGTCATATCTCCGCATCAAACATATTAAGTACGAGCTATAGATATATTCGGTTTTCTCCCGTGGGGATGCTCTGACATGTCAGGGAGCTGGGTTTACGCGACGCCAGACCCTTGCTCGAGTGGGCGAGCGACAACATTTGGTGGAAAACCCAACCCCCTGACATGAAAAAGCATCTCCAATGAACAAGACTGTACAGTGCTTTATCAGATGTATACCTATATTGCGACGACCGATGCCACGAGAATTTCTGCCAAAATGCAGCCGA